TAGCTTTTGCCTTTGTCAGTTCTTTGTTTTGTATTGCCAAGTTGCCAAACACGCAGAGTTGTTTATCCTTTCAAAATAAATTCTGATGCAGAAGAAAAAAAAAAAACAACCATTATTACCTTCCCTCCCATGATACTAAACAACAAAGAACAAGTGCATAAATATCTTTGCTTGAATTAGCAGTTAAAACCTACTTTCTGTTCCCTACCTTCTAAGTAAAACCTTTGTTAAGCATACTGGCTGGAATTACTTTCCTCTGAGTTCTTATGTTGTTGTTGTGTGCCATCAAGTCACCTGTGCACAACAGCTCTGAACCCTGCTTCATCCTGAGCCAACTTTTTTGTCTTTGACACAATTACCTCTGTTACTCCGGTCGCTGAATCGATCCATCTCATCGAGGGTCTTCCTCTCCTGTGCTGTCCCTCCACCCTCCCAAGCATGATGTCCCTCTCCAAGAACTGGTCCCTCCTTACAACACGTCCAAAGTATGTCAGACAAAGCTTCAGAATCCCTGGCTGCAAGGAGCAGCCCGGCTTCACCCTCTCCAGGACAAACCTGTTTGTTCTCCTAGCAGTCCATGTTATATAGCAGTTTTTAATGATCTCTGTTATAGCTCATGGAACACTCTGCCTCGTATTGTGGAATTTACTACTAATATTTACTACTCTTATTAGATTGTAAGCTCTTTGAAGTCAAGACTCAGTGCACATAGTAGTTGTTAGGTGCCAGCAAGTCAACTATAATTTGTAGCAACCCTGTAACCAATAAATCTGAACCTTGCCTTATCCTGTGCCATCATCGCCACCTCTGACCCGTCCTTGACCCCGTTGTTATAGTCACCTGTCAGTCCATCTTGTTGAGGGTTTTCCTCCCTGTCTCTTACCCTCCACCTTTCCTAGAATGCTGTCTCTTCCCAAAGATTTGCCCCTCCTCACTACATGCCCACTGTACGTGAGATGGCATTTTACCATCCTTTCCTCTAAAGGAGCACCCTGCTTGCACTTGTGTTATGGACTGTCAAGTCAGAAACAGCCCATAGCTGACCCTCCAGCAGGTTTTCAGAGGTAGTAAATCACTCAGGAGATTGCCCATCTTTCTCCTGCAGAACATCTGGTATTTCAAACTGAGTGCCTTTGGCACAACTCCTTACCATTAAAGCCGCCAGAGTTCCCTAATATTTATTCCAACAAAATGTATTTTGAATAAACCTGTGTACTAAAGAGATATTAGTAACAAAGTAAAAAGAACTTCCAGCTGGGGAAACAGCTTTATTGTGGGGCCTTGGCCAAGCTGCTGTTTTTCTCTGTATCATTGTTTTCACTTGTGTGGGTGTGGGAGCAGTATCTCAGGGAGAATGGTCAGAAAAAATGAAGTTCAAACAGTGTTCGTAAAATGCAAGGGAGGGGTTGGGATGTAGAGAGGACACTTTCTTTAGCCCAGAAATATTAT